AATTGAGCTCATCTGAAAAAAAAAATCCCGGCCAAGAACTGCAGTCAACACATATGAGGATTTGCCAGAAGACCACCCTCATTGCCCAATCTGCTATTTCAAAAGGCCTACCCAAATTAACATCAAATTACTTGAATACAGGACCATTCCACTTCTCTTGGAAAAAACAACAGAAAACCCCAAAATAAACACAAACCAAAACACCACCCCCAAGCCCCCCAAAACATTAATTGCTCAGCAAGGGTATCATTTAAGAGACACCACAGCACCTTCCCTTTGGTGGAAAGACAGCAAAAAGCTCTACCACAATATTCTCCAACTCTGAATGCTCCTGTTACACCCTCACCATGTATCCCTTTTTAGTAGAAAGGGTCTTTTCACACAGAGTATCTGGCTTACAATGCCTTTTTTTTTTTTTTTTTTGGAGGGAAGGAGTGGGAGGACAATAGAACCCTTAATGTGCAGTGACATCATTTCTGGCTCCAGTCCCACCATCCAGCCTAAAGCAAGCCAGACAGAAGACCTCCACGGAGGCCCTTCTGTGGGAGCTGCTGGAAGCAATGTTACATTTCAGAAGGGACCCACTGGCAAGCGTGGAAGGGAGTGCCCCAGCACAACAGCAGGGTCCTCGCACTGTTAGGACTACAAAAACAGGACAAAGAGACTCTTGCCATCACCACGAAGACAACAACTTGCCCTGCCCCACCAGGCAGGAGCTCAGGCAGGATTTGAGCAAAGCGGGATCCAGCAAAGCCAGTTAACCCTGGGGAAACTGATCTATCCAGATTGTTCAACTGCCACTGACCTGAGAGCGGGCCATGTCCCCAGGCCAGAGTTAAGGGATAGAGAATTTGCTTCACAGCCTAACGGGTAACACAACAGAGGTAACAGGATAACAGCCAACATTATGAAGAATAGCAGGAAACACTGGTAACAAATGTGCATTTAATCATACATGTAGGGGCAATTCTCATCAAAAGACCTCTACCAGGTACCAACCAAGAGAAGGAGAACCAGGCATGCTGTACAGACCTGGGAAGAGATGGTTCCCAGCCTCACAAACTCATGTCCTAAACCTACAAACGCTTCTCCCAATTGACAGAGAGGAAAAAAGGGCTGCAAGGACAGGATTCCTCTTCCCTACCTTTAAAATCCCCTGATTTTAAAGATGACCAAGCCTGCTCAGGCAACGAAGAGGGGCAGGCACCTCCAGAGAAAGCTCCATCCCAGCTCTAGACATCCCATCCCTAATGAAGTCACAGAAGCAAAAGATGACGAGCTTGTGTTCAGACATCTAAAAGCTGTTTGCAGGAGAAGAACCCCACCTCAACTGTCTGCCCAACGCGGCAGACATCCAGGACAGGGTGGGAAACTGTTTGAAGTCTCCACAAGCCTCAGGGTAACTCCAGCATTACCTGTTGCGTGTAAGTGAGTGTATCAGCTACACATCTTTGTCAGACTCATCAGACAAAGCTTCCACCCAACCAGGATGGATCCTGACTGAGTAACTGTGCTGCCTTTCCTAAATATCCAATTCAACAACACACCAGTTTATCAGCTAATGTCCCAGTTCTCCACCACCTCTCTCTCTTCACAAAGCCTAATTGCTTCCTCATCCAAATCTTCCCCTCCCTGATCGGTCTGGTGATGGGGTCAGACCCCACCTCTAACATGGACACAGCTGGATGCCCACCAGAATCGCTGCTTCCCCACTCCACAGTGTCTCCTGTCAATCTTCCTACCCTGTTCTTGCTCTCCTTCCAATCTCAGGAGCACCACTTCGGGGCAGTCTGTCTTTTCCTCCCCACCCTCAGCTCCCTTCACTGTTTCAGAGCAAGGAGGCTTTGGATCCTGGGTCCTTTTCCAGCTTGAACACACTCAGAGAATACTTAACTCACCACTATTCCATAGAGTGGCCACTTCTAGCAGCTCCTGTGATGTTCCAAAGCAACAGAAGAGGGCAGAGAGGAGCTGCCAGAAAGAAGCACACAGCATTTGCTCCAAAACCCACAGACACTGGTCCTGGTGTGGGAAGTGTCTGTCATGCATTAAATACTCCTGGTTCCTACACTCATGGGCTCACAAACAGCACACCAATGCAGCCAGCGGTGTGACAACTCCATCTGTGCAGAGCCAGACTCCTCTGCTGCGTCCAGTGTCTGAAGCCCTGGCCTTGCCCTCGGCTCTCCCAGCACAATGCAGCTGGGAAATACTGGGTGCCGAGGGCTTCTCAAACATCTTTTCCATCCCCCAATTCCGCAGTTGCAAAATCCACACACTTTCCTTGCTACAGAGCGAGCACATGACTCGCATCACCTGAAAAAAGTGTTTCTTCACCAGAAAGCTGTATTTTACAAAATCCCTGAAGTGCCCCAAGGGGACTAGTAAACCACCCTCTCGGGCAGGTGATACCCTCCCTGCACAGACAAAGTGGCAGAGGCCCAAAATTCCTGTACATCCCCACAGCGAGGACTAGCACAAGAAGGGCACATACCTGGTCCCAGAGCTTCCAGGGGCAACTTCTTGTGATAATATGGTATTTCTCCCTTAAATCCAACACGCACCCAGAGCCCTAAGTGCCTAAATGAGTAAATTACATCAGAAATGCCAGACGCAGAGCCTCATCACCTCCCATTTGACACCACTGCACAGGATCAAATCATTCCCACAGCGAACTGGGAGCAAGAGGGAAACAGGAGAAACAACAAGCCCAGAAGAATCACCTGGCTCGGGTCCAGGTAACACCAGGGCTCAGGAAGCAAATTTCTAATAATCAAGGCTTGCTGCCTGGTTAAACATACCATCTATGCAGCACTGCTGCTATTAATAAATGTAAGACTCTTTATTACTGTAGAAGACTTTCTGTAGCATCAGAAACTCAGCTCTCTCTATTCCCTGCCCTCTTCATATACTTCAAGAGTATTGGGGAGGGTAGGGAAGAAGAGGGAAAAAAAAAAAAAGAAAACAAAAAAGGAAAATAAAAAGAGAGAGAGCATGCAAGGTAAGTGAACCATGCAATAAAAAAATGTTGAAATTGGCTCAGGCATCTCCTGATAAGATCATCAGAGTTGAGAAAGAACTGCAGCTCTACTGGTGAGAAATCCAACCATTGACAAAACGCATCCACTCAGGGGGAAAAAAAAAAAGTTAAACAGACACTTAAACACACATAGCACATGCTAAAAATGCCAGTTCTTTGAACACTGAAGCCCAGAGCACTTCTGTCTTAATAAAATTCTGATCCCAGGAGCCAAGGCTTGCACTCTCGGTACCAACAGTCCCCTCCACAGATTCATACAAACCAACACTCAACGTACATGGATCTCACACACTAAGAGTGTGAATCTGGAAGCAAATTTGCCTCTGTAGCTACAAAATAAGTCTGGCTCACACATCCCCACACCACCTCATCCCATGGAGTTCAGCCTGGAGCTGCAATACCACTGTGAGGGTATCCTCAAGCTGCTATTAGCAATTTTACTGTAGACTAAAACTACTCATTCAGGGGTCTGCAGAGTACCTGGGCAATAATCACCTGCTTGATCCATCCTTGCATGCAAATCCTTAGCCCTGAAGTACCTTGCAGACACCAATTATCTGTGTTCCATGAATGTTAGGCTGACTATAGCAGCAGGGTAACATTTTAGGGAACACTTACTGCCTCCTTTTGACAGCCCTTCTAAAGCTTCATCTGTCTGTTCACATAGCAAAGTGCTTCATGATTCAAAAATCATGTCAGCCTGTGAGCATCCTCCAGCAGGTAAGGCCCTCCCTACCCGACTGAAGCTCAGTCTGGTGAACAGGGAAGCCTGGCACCCAGTACCAGCCTGAAGCAACGTCAGCACTTTCAGCAGCAGCACACACAACTCCTCACCGCTGCCTGGCAGGCATACCAAACTTCTTCCACAGAGCTGAAATCCAAGAGTAGCCCCCATACAACCTCTCCCTGTCTCTTTTCTCCACAGCCCTTGTGCAGCACAGAGCAAAACTCGTGGTGACAGTGAGCTCTGTGCAATGACACCACCCCTTGTGTGTCCTGCAGAACACAGTGACACCCAGCTCCAGAGAAGGACCTTTGCATTCTCTGCTGACAGCTCTTATGTCCCCCAGGCTCGGCTCTCCCTAGACTTGGCACTCTGCAGCCACCAGTTTTCCCCACAGTGCTTGCAACCAGTACGTGACATATTAGCAAGGGAACAGCCAGTCTCCAAAAACTGAAGGAAACCATTCCCAATTCTTAATGAAAACCCAGGCAGTAATGAAACTCTCCAAAGACGACTCCTGCACTTTAAATCCAGCAACAAACCAGTAGGAAATGCCTTTGGAACCAAGGTGACTCCACTCTCTGACCTGCTGTCCTTGCATCCAGAAGCTGCACGGGCCTTTTTCAAAAGCTGGAGTGGCTTCAGACAGCTGCAGTTAGCTACGAGCTAGGGAACCTGACCATACTTACACATCTACCGTGGTGCCCGCAGTTCTAAAAAAAGATCAAACCAGAGTTCACCAGGAGGCTGCTCTAGCTTGAAATAGGTCACTGAGTGCTGGGAACTGTGGTTTCAGCAACACACGATTTGGGAGCTCAATGGCAGCAGCTACTCCCTCTTCTGCTCAAGGCAAGCCCATTGCCACAGCCTTAACTCCCTCAGAAGTTGCCCCCTGCCACCTGCGGGGATCTTCCGAGAGAGTGTACTCCCTGCCAAGCCCAGCTACGCTCCATCACTCCTCCCGCACCACTTCATCTGCTCTGGAAACGCTCAGTGCTTCCTTTTGTCAGTACTTGTCTGTCAGGTAGGCAGTTCTGCCAAGAACCTTAAAGCAGCTGCAGAGCTCTCTGCAGTTGCACATGCAAAGCCTCTTAAGAAATAGCCAGAAGGTTTTGCCTAATGTAAGAGCGTAAACAAACTTGTTACATGCTAATCACCAGGTAGGCCACACACCCTTCCCCTCCCCCAGCCCCTGAATCTGCTAAAAGGACAGGAAATATAATCGTGGTCACATACTTTTGCTTCCTCGTTGATGTCCCAAGTGAAGGATATGGCGTTGTAAGCAATCTCCTCAATGTTACTGATGGTGTTGAAGCTCTCCTTGTAGTCAGCTGTTAGAAAGAAGGACACATAAGGGAGAGGAAGAGGCCATACCATCTGGAGTCCCTAATCACACAAAACAGCCAGAAACTGCAACTCCTCAGCAACTCTTTGGGGGCAAAGGAAGCTGAACTGTACTTAAGAATGGAAATGGTTCTCATACAAAAACAAAAAAAAACAAACAGAAGGAAGGAGGAAAGCAGAAATTCCAAACTAGAAACTCCAGTGAGAAAGGCAGACATCCCAAATATCGCATGTCCTGTGCCATAACCTGCTAGGTGCAGGGAAACTCTACCCTCTACAGCAAGGGGATAAGCTCTCAATAAAACTCCTTCAATAACAAACAGAGATTTGCATGCGCGTCTGCTTTAAGTGCCAAGTGATTAATCCCTGCTTTTATTCACAGAAGGAAGGGACGAGGAGTACAACCCAGCCTTCAGCCAGAGAAGGCTGGAAGCCAGCCAGCCCCAGCCTTGTCTGGAGGCAAGTGGAAATTTGCAGTGTTTTCTTTTTTTACACGTACCAAAGACCAGTTGTGAGCAAAGCTGTGGGAAGAAGGATCATTAATGTCGAGGTATTTCTACGAGGATCTTGTCCTTTGAAGAAACACAGTATTTAGGACAGCCACAGAGTCTATAAGCTGCGATTTAGCTACAGGCACCAGGATATGCCAAAGCAACTACAGTTGGGTGTGTGTGTGTGGGTGTGTGTGTGTGTGTGTTAGATCTCCCGATGCAAAACCCTAAACTCAGCGTGCTCACCAACAAAAACCCTCCAAAAAAAATCAGCCTCTTTAAGGAGTCCTAAAAACTACAGTATTAGCTCCAAGCAATCAACAGCTTTCTCTAGGCTTTCAGCAAAGCTATGTGTAGCAGAGTATGATCTAAAGGTTCCTTAAAATAACAAAGCTTTAGCAGAAAACCAAACCTTGCCAAGGAATTAAGTTTGGAGTTTGACATCAGCAACGAGAGTGTTCCTTACCTATGTCAATGCATCTTTGTTTGGCTGTGTGCTGTCTTGAGTGCCAGTATTTCCAGTGCCTGAGCTGATCTTCCCTTGTTTTGTCTTCAGCAAACACGACCATGATGACACTCTGAAAGGACAGGGGGAGGGGCAAGCTTAAAAAACAAAAACACACCAAAAAACCCCACAAACATGCAAAAGAGAAAAGGCCAGAGTACATTTGTTTTGAAGTTCTTGTTGGTATCAGGTTTTCTGCTTCAGGCTTTCCAACTTGACTCACTGCAGTATAGCTGGCACACGGCTGCCAAGCAGGAAGGCAGACAGCAGCGCTTTCTGGGTCATAAACAGAGATGAGCAGAACTGCTCTCCTAACTGGAGTTCAAGGATCTCATTGCAGGTGTTGCATCACCTTTATACAAGTGCTGACACCACTTCTTAACAGACTGAGCCAGGATGGGCTGGTCTGGAAGTAGGTGGACAGCAAAGGAACGAACACTGACGTAAGAGAGCGGGTAAGCTGGCCTTAGTGCTGATGCTCTGGTTTAGATTACTGCACTTTGGGAGAGTTCAAGGCTACCATTGTACACACCCTCTTTCCCAAGAAGCCACAAGAGCTGCCACTCACTCGGACTTTACTGATGGGGTGATGGATTCCTTCACTGCTGCTGACTTCTTTCAGCGTGATCGGGTAAAATTGACCTTTGTTCAGGTAAGTCATCGTGCTGTCCCCTGGCTTCTGTCGAAGGGACTTGGAGGCTTCCAGAGTGTATTCAAAGTTATTCCTACGGAGCGAAGAGGGTAGTGATTGCTAAGGCATTTTCCTGGAAAGCCGATTAAACGATCCACATTTAATTTGGAGAAATTCCAAAGTCGTTAGTTGACTCACTAAGCCATCAACAGGCAAGGAAGTTGGAAAACAGGATGAGCCCCTTTTTCAACCATTTCCTTCATGAATGAACATTTAAGAGAAGTTCTTGGCAAGCTAAATCCCAAGACACATCAGCAGGCAAGACTGGAAGCTCCCTATTCAGGCTGAGAGCAGCAAGCTGCTGTCATGGAACAGAAAAGTATCTATTAGCAATTAAATTAAATGCACAAGCTCATAAGGCATTCAGCGGCCATGGTCTTCTCCTCCTCCCTCTTGGTCAACTGCAACTAACCGAACAACTAGTTAATTCCCCTCAGAGTTCAGATGAGTTTCATACGTCCTATTTCTGCTGTAGATTTCCAGCAGAAAGAGTGCAAGGCGAGCAGGGCAGGGAGAGGGACACAGCTGGAAGCCAACTTCAAGACCACTGCAGAGCTGACAGAGAGCACTGCATCGTCCCATGCGACAGGGAGTTGGTACAAGGACAGCAACTGAAACTGGGTGGTATTTCCAACCCTGTAGGCAGTTTTCCTTAAAGACACAGGTAGGATTTTTAACTATGAAATTCAAATGAGCAGACACTGTTGTGGTTTTGAGATCCGCAGCCCCCCCAGTGCCTAAGAGAGACTCAGTGCAGAAGGGAATGAGCTGTACTGCTTGCTCACACACAGCTAAGAGAATGGAAGGATACAGGCAAACAGGGGCCTTAAAGCATTACCCAGAAATGCTGTCAAAAACATAATCTTCTGAATTCATGTTGGCCATCCGGAGATTCAGTTCAGTAGGAAAGAAAACCTGGGGTAGACACAAAACAAAGCAACACAACAATTAACACAACAGCAACAAGAAAAGTCAAGATTAAACAGATGCTTGTTACCACAGAACTTCTGGCAGGCAAACTGATCATCAGATAACAACTGATTTTTGGTCTGTGCAAACAGGACACTTGAACAGGGTTTTAAACCAAAACTCTTGGGTGTCAACTAAGCACAGTATCTCACAAGCTTTCTGAGTCAGCTTAGGGCAACATTTTAAAGCTTTCCCAAATCTCAAAGAAAGGGCATAGCTACATAGTTCCTTGAGATCTGGCTTAAAAATCAAAACATGGTTACTGTTGCCTTTAGTTGGCGCCATAAAACAAAAACCCACAGATTTTCATCCAGGTTTAACACTCATTTAAGGCCCCTAAATAAACCGATTGTTTTTAACTGGCACACACCACGCCTAGAAACTGGCAGTAAGGAAGCTTACAGGCAGGCACTTCACTTCAGTGCCTGCAAAGGCACTGCAGAGTGCTGAACTCTTGCAAAACTTGGCCCGATGCTGTGGATCAAGGTAACTATTGCCACACTCTCCAAGCCAAAGCCTGTGTCGCTGGTAAGATTAGTCATTTGCTTTTGATAATGATTTCATGTTGTGAAGGTTTTATTTACTAAGTAACACTTATGCATCTTTCTGTGAAAGCCTTCGATTCCTAAATCACTGGACAGATTTCTGGCTCATGTAAGAAGAACAAGTAAAGATGGAACTGGATCTCTCCACCCAGATCAAGACTCGTGCACACACACACACACACACAGAGCAACTGCCTCTCTTGGTACCTCTTGCACGCCCTCCTTGAAAGTCTCTGAGAAGGTGGAGTCCGGCGTTCTCCTCTGGGAGTTTTGAGGCTGGGTGTTGGAACTGAACTGGTCGGGATTGAGGTTCCTGTCGAAGACCACCACCCGCTCAGGGGGCTCGGGGTGGTAGACGCTCGGCGGGATGCCCACTGCAAAGCCGTGGGGCTGTGTCTCCGTTTTGATGGAATGGGTGGGCATAGTGGCAATTGAAACAGTGACCGTTGTGTCAGGGGTTGTAAGGTGGCCTCTCTTGTCCATGCCCATCTGGGGTGTGTGAGGAAGGACAATATTGAAAGGCACATTTTTCAGAACCTGGACTCTGTTTTCTCCAGCAGAAATAAGCGACTGTTCCGTTACATTTGGGATGCTGTTCCTTTAAAGGACAAAGAAAAAAAATCATTCATAAATTAACAGCTCATTTTCTCCTTGAAAAAGAGCTAGAAAGACTTCAGCCTTCTGGGACAAGGACAGCTGACACCAACTCTTGTTGCAGAACAGCTCAATTCTAACCTGAAAAGCTGAGAAACTCATTCAAAAAAAAAAAACCACCAACCTCACCCACTCCTACCAACCCCACCTTGGAGATGAATTACCCTGGAGCAAAGGGTGAGGGTTCACAGCTGAGATGCTCAATGCTTGAAAAAAAGCAATCCAAAACTAAGCACTTTGAGGCCTTTCCCACCACGCACCAGCACACACAGGCTCCATTAAACTCATCTTTGGCAGATGGAGAAGGACTGAGAGCAAGGTTGCTGCTCCTCTGCCCTGGGACTGTGCACCACCCGGGAAGCACTAATAGGGAAATTACACCCCTCTTTCATGCACAAAGCCCCAAGAAAATCCACACCGAGACTCCCGGGAGTGGTTTGCATAACTTCCCACTCTCCACCCCACCACACTCATTTCTGCCAGGACACATGGAGATCTGTGGCTGAGCTGACCTCACTGCTAGTAGCCACTAGTCAGCCTGCCCTCCCTTTCTCTCTCCCCACAACATGGTCCTGCCCTCTCCTTTGCACCAATTCTGATGCTCTCCTGTCCCCTTGGTGAGCCAGTTTGGCTTGTTCCACTGGCAGAAAACTAGCCACTTCTTTTTTTTCTTGCTAGGTTATGGGTCAGTGGAAGACCAGAGCTGGTAAGAGGGGCGCTGTGGGAACTAGACTGGTCTTCTCAACGAGTTGTTCAATTGGCTCAGTCAGACCACAGAAACCTCACCTTGAGCCCTTAAAGCCTTCTAGTCTGTCCAAAGGAAGAGGATGGTAGGAGTGGAAGTCTGGCTTGAATGAACCCCACATTCGTAATATTTACTTAATCAGTATCATCTTCTGCTTGGGAGGCATAAGAAAGGGAAGGCAGGAAGAGGGAAGAAAGGAGTTCCAGAGGATACAAAAGAAGTCCACAAACAATACAAAACCAAATCACAAGTACTTTGAAGTCCTTCCCTATCAGTCCATGCATAAAGAAGCAATACTGCTAGTGCCTGAGAACAAAATCAGCAGTGAGCAACTGAGGCAACCACATGCAAAAATAAAAGGGTCACCAGTCACCTCCACAGCCTTGGGAAGGGGTGCCTGTGCTATCAGGCTGTGCCTAGTGTTAACAAGAGAAGCTGTTGCTACACCGTCTGTATGACTGTACACATTTGGGGCACAGAGTAAAAGCAAACAATTTCTCTCTTCCAGCACAACACCGTAGTGCAGCATGCTTCAGTGGCTTTGGTGGTCTAGGAGGGAAGGATGATAAGTAGACATGCAATAATAGAAACTAATACCTTTTGCTATGGTCTTGGTCAGGATGTTCTACCTCTGGTTTAGCTGTAGAAGATCTCCTCTCCCTTGGAACCTGGGAAATACAAGACATGCTGTAATTACATTCTTCCTCCCATACAAAAAAAAAAAAAAATTAGCTCCTCAAAACACAGTCATTTGGTCAAATTAAGAAAGCAGCACTTTCTGATACCAGTCAGTCTTAGCATTACAGTTTGCCCAGTGTTCACAGTGCTTTGGGATGCCAGGCCCACTCCAGATGATGCCCCACAGATTCCCCTGTAGCTGACCCAGCCTGCTGTGCCAGCCCTGAGCTCCTACCAGCGCCAGGCAGTGGGAAAACCAGTGCCGAAAACTGGCCAGCCCTGGCTGAAGCACCAGCACTGGGGTGAGCAGGGCCAAGATAAGAGCACTCAAGGCTTGTGCTGGTGGTGCAGGTGTTCTCCTCTGCAGGCTGGATGAGCTCAAGGCCTGTGAAAAGATGCTGCTCCACAGCCCCTGGCCCAAGAACACATGCTCTCTAGGCCACTTCCTCAAAGACCACTCAAGGCTTTCCTTTTTCCTCAGAGACCAGGGGATTCCGGGAGGACCAGGTCCAATAAGTGTACTGGGATACTACAGCTCATTTTTGTTCATGGCTACATACAACACACAATGGCCCAAATGGTATTCTATCTTTTATAAACAAAAGGTAACCACCAGTGCTCTAAATTTAAGACAGCTCAATACTGCTTCTCGTATTTTATGCCACGGACAGGATTTGCCCTGAAAACACCACATACCACAACATGGATCACAAAAGCCACCATGTCCACACACAGACACATGTCATCTTCCTGCACCCTGCAAGGCCAAGGCATACAGAAGATGAACTCTCCAAACCATGGCAACTCAGTTCACTGGAGCACACAGCCAGCACCCCGAACGGCTCTCACCATCGCTGGCACAAGCGCACAGTGCTCAGGTCCCCTTGATGGTGCAGCAAGTCCACACAAGCTCCTCTGCAAACCCACACGTGGTGCCCAGGAATTTTGTTACCCTCAACATACCTCCTGAATGAGGAAAGCAAACATCTTCTGGTGTAAAAAGGAGTGAACTCCCACCACTTTCCTTCACTGAAGCCTGTTCAGATACTGTCCACGTTTGCCAGCCTGGGTACATCCTGGGGAACCACGGCTTTACTGCTAAATTGAAGGCTGATGGCATACTTGGGAGAACAGCCTCTGTCTAAAACCTAAGTCCTGGCTCTTCCACATAACCTGGAATCTCCAATAATTCCAGAATTGTTGGATTTTCCATGGTAACCAGCAAAACTTGGAGAACTTCCAGCTGGAGACTGCTAGGAGGCCAATATTAACTAGTCACTGAAAAACAAGGGCTTTCCAAGCTGCATTTGGCCAACGCTCCTAAACTCTAGACTTTCATCAAAAATTTGTTTCCCATAAGGCCTTATTAATCACAGCTGAGCTACTACGGTAGCCCATTAGTCAAATGGAAGAAAACTCAAGTTGTTTGGGTTTGTTGGGTTTTTCTGACATGAAAGTGATCTCATCGGCTGTCTTTAATATTGCAGAGAAGGCATATTAAAAATGCCTAGACATCGTTCCTCTGGCATTACTTCATAACCGCCCTCAATAAATCTTTCAACCTCTAACCATTTTGCTTCACCCAAGTGTGCAGCATACCTGTTCTTCCACTGATTTTTCTAAATACCCACTGATACCCAAACATAAGAGGAAACCCCGAATTAGACATTAATGTACAGTAAATCCCTTCTGCTTTGCCAAGCGTGAAGAATAAACATCAATGTTGTCTTTGCAATCTAAAGGTTTAGAAATGAAAATTGATTTTGTAGATTAAAATCATTCTGGTGAAAGTGTTGGTATTTTTTTTTTTCAAAAGCATAGCAAGCACGGGCACAAAGCGGAAAGCCAGTTTTCTCACAAAATTAGCTGAATAACATCCACATCAGTGAGTCTGTGGCATTTTGCCTTGTGTGTGGAGTGTTAATCTCCATATTAAGCATTACAAGAATATTTTGATATGTAAGACATGTTCAACTCTTAAAAGGGCGGGCAAGGATTCTGTATGCACAAAGCAACCTCTCCTTGTGCTTGAAGAACAAACCCAGGCTGACAATTGCACTCACTGCTGTTAAAAGACACTAACCAAAGTGTCAGGCACGCCAGCCAAGTCAGCCTCCTGGCCTCTCTGCACGCTCAGCAAAGAAAAAACAGGCATCTCCACCTGGTGAGCCAGGCCACCATAACGCAGGCGTCTACCACGAGCAGGACACCTCCCTGCCTGCAAATGCCTGCTGGTCTCCACTGGCTTGGACATGGACTGGAGATAACTACCCTGGCTTAGACTTCTGGTATTTAGGAAAGAAAGTTTAGCATGATGTATCCCATGCAAACCAGGAGGTTATGTGTTTGACTGTGATCAATTCACCTGTGAGCATCTAGGAAGGTGTATGTCTCTGAAAAGACCATGAACATTGGGGAAGACAACTGCAGTTGTCAAAGAATTAAACTACGGCAGCTGAAGCTCACTGAAGATTAGAGGGATGTGGACAAACTCCTTCAGGTGGACATTTCCAACCCCAACACCACCAAAAATCTGTAGTTATAGCTTAGTATCAACTGATACTAAGGTAGCACATCAAAGCCCCAGCAAAAGCAAACACTTCCATCGGAATAGGGATCACGTGAGCAAAAGGAGAAAAGGATCTTTCTCCCTGCGTATTTACATTCAGATAGGGCCATGTTCCCAAAGTCTAATTCGTCATGACTATTTCTATAATACATTGCCTACTGCAGAACCTGGAGCTGACAGGCAAAGTGCTACTGAAGCTTTTGACCCATTACATTAAGATCCAGGGGCTCTTATTTTACTAAGCTAAAAATAAAACAATTTTCAGAAAAAGGGACATGGATCTTTTTTCCATTTAAAAAAAAAAATCACACAGTTGAAGTCCTTATGTTCTATTCATAGCTTCTGTAAAATCCTCTAGCAAATGACACCTTTTCCACAGGTGGAACAAGAGCTCTGCTAGCTGCCAGAGCGCACCCACGCCAATCTACCTTGTAATAATCATACAGCAGTCCGAGGGCAGCTGCGCTGTCTTCATCACCATTGATGCTCATCATAGCTTTGGTAGCTGCTGTAAGGGGATTTTCAAGAAAGGTTTTCCAGGCCTCATCTTCACTGGTGTAAGGACGTCTCTGAGAGTAGAGAGAGTCATTCTGAAGAACCAACACGGGTCTTTTACTTGAATCGTAAAAAAAAAAAAGAAATAAAAAAGCCACCTGTTAGAACACATGAAAAACATTCCTGAAGTTCTTCAAAATTAGCTGCCCCAGTTTCACAGGGTTCATATTCTGATTCAGTGTACTGCAAGGATTAGTCAACATAAAAAACCCAGAACCCTAATTCTGATCTCACTCACGCTCTGTGTAAATCAGGATTAATTTGACCAATCTCAGCTGGATTACACCAGCCTACATAAAAAGGCAAAGCCTTTTAAGAGCACAACTGACCTCCTCAAACTCTGAATCCAACTCAGAGTTACACACAGAAACTAGCCTACCACCTCCAAAACCTCTAGCACATCCTATGTAATACTACCAAGCCACAACCTGCTCCAGTTCCCACATGAAACCAGTAAATGTGAATTAACAAAACATTTACTTCCCCCAGAGCTTTCAGAAGGTGTCTTTGCTCTCAGAGTATATCTGGAAACACCACCGAGAAGCTGCCGATTAGTTATGAACTATACAGGCAAATTGGTCAAAGGGACCTCAAACCAATTGGCAGTGAATTTTTCTCACAAAGGGAAGCCAAAAGACTTACTGCCTGGTTACTGCTGAAATAACTCATGACAATAGTTTGAAACACCCTCAACAGATGACTGGGGGGGGGGAAAAAAAAAAAAGAAAGAAAAACTGGAGTTCTTCCTTTTATGCTGTAATATATAAAAAATATCTATCTATTCTGAACATTTTGAGATTGCTGGAAACAAAAAAGCTCCAAGATGACTTGGACCTTCTGCCCACAGGCAAAAGTGGGACATCTGCAGAAAATGCTGTGCTACTAGCTTAGACAATATATTTTGGGTCTATTGGTAAAACACATGCTCCCTCTTCCAAATCACTTCAAGCTAATGTTGTTTAAATCTGACTTTTAATCCAGTTCAAACAGGTTTTCTTCCAGTGCAAGCGTAACACTAGTTTATTGCAGACCAGTACGGAGAGAAGGGAGACTATTTCCTTAAATAATCCCAAACTTTGCATTTCTTAATGAATTGGTAAAAGTTTAACATAACTAATTATTTTAAAACCCAATCTCCACAAAAGGCTGTTCCCTACCACCATCATACCCCTTCCCCAGTAGCTAATCATTCTTTTAATCTATTTACCCAGATGCATTCAGAGATTGAAATATACTACAAAAAGTTGCGAAATAGAAAGTTGTGAAATACCCTAATCACTATAATCAGCTTAACAGTATCCTACATTTATCACCATCTTCTACCAAAAAGGCTGAAAAGCACTTTGCTAATTCAGCCTTCGATCCTTTATCAGTTACACAAAGAGTCCCAATGAGCTTCAGTGGGACAGTTTGGCTGAGTTGAAGACACTCAAAGCGAGTGGGAGTTTCCAGGACTTGTAAGAGCACTTTGTGGCTATAAATCAGTATTATATAGTTTGATAAAAGCAAACAACAACGGAAAAAAGAGACAAGCTCTTGCACCAAGCCCTTTCTTTAGGTCTTCATACGTATTTTGTGTACACACTGACTCAGATACCAAAATGCAGTGTACTAAAACGCAGATACTCCTGGGATCGAGGACATCCACTTTCTATCAAGGACTGCACAGCAAAAGATAAAGCGAAATTTTCTTCAGGGACATAGTACAAGCTCCTATTCTTATACAATGTGATAAGAGAAACCTCGAATATCCATAACAAATGGGTAAATCCTCCCATTAAAGTCACTCCTAAAGAAAAAGGCAACTGAAGTAACCTCGGTGCAGGTCACTCGATCCATCCAAGCTGAAGGGCTAAATCAGCCTTGCTGGAACTCACAAGACCACTAAGCTGATTCCCGCCAGCAACACAACGCTCACGTGGGAAGAGAGAACCAAGAGAGAATCAAAAATACTGAGAACTAAAGCAGCCACCAACCAGAAACTTGGCAAATGCAAACCCGACTATTTTTGTGCAATTTCTTTGTCATTGCAACACCTAAATGTAACGCACATTGCCCTACAGGTAACTAACTCTCCCCAAAAGCAGCATAGAAAGAATTATCTGCAGAATTATCAAGAGGAAAACAGGATTTGGCAGTAACTCAATCCCTTAACAGAACTACAGCTTCTTTCAGGAAAATGAGAACATATTAGTAAGAGAAGGAAAACATTTATTTTTCTCAAGTTTTAGGTTTCAAGATTACTGGCACGTGAATCTGCTCACAAAGCAGCAGACATGGCCAGCAAAGGCTGGAAGTAAGTTTCCTACTGCACTTCCAACGATTTCTGAATTTTGTTTTCTAAGTGACCAAAGTAGGAGCAGAAGAGTATTACAAAAAGCAGATACGCCCTCTTTGCTTGTGAGGATCCCACAACCTACCATGTTCTGTGTTCAGATCATTGAAACTATTCCTGCTTACTTATTTCACCGATCCAAAACCCACCCTTTCTTTCCCTCACCACGCAATTTATCTGGAGACGTTAGGAGATCCTCAGCCACACTGCACTTTATAGCTGGTCTTGCACAGAGAACACCTTTAGCGATGAGGCAGCAGAGAAGATTTCTTTCACGGACTTCTACGTGCCAGAAAAGTGCACGTACCTGTATTGTTACGGCCTCATTTATTAAGCATCATGAGAAGTAAACATACGTTATGAAAAATTGCTAATCACGGAGTGAAGCCAGTGAGCTGTGCCATTAGAGTCCTCTTTCTAGAAAGTGATATGTTAAAAAACAAAAACAACACAACCTTTGGTAAAAACCCTGTGCTTGCCCTAGGAAATGAGTGCATTTGAGTCACCGATCATTCGGAACACAGTAATTTGATAGTCGGTTCTTCAAATCACCTCAGAGTTGCCCCGTTTTCTATCCGCTTACGGCGTCCACAGCCCCCGCCTCCAGACAGACACGGTGACAAGCGTAGAGATAAACCCGAGTCGTTAAACGCGGCCGGGGATCCGGTTTGAAGAAGACGCCTCGGCATCCAACACCGTGAAGTTACAGAAAACGCGCCTTAAGCTCGGTTTTAACCCCCTCCACACCCGCCTTCGCGCAGCAAGGAGGTGGCTGCAGCCGGGCTCACCGAGAGCCCCCTCGGCGGGGCGGGGTGCGCGCCGGCCGACCCCCCTTTACCTGCCGAAATCCACCTTGCCGGAGGGGTGCGCCTCGTAGAAGTCCATGGGGGCCGCTCCCGCCGCCGCCGGGCAGCGGCTCGGGGCTCCGGCGGGGGGGGGTGGGGGGGACGGGGACAGCCGGGCGCTCCGGCTCCGCCCGCCTCCCTCAGCCCCCGGCAGAAGGGGCAGCTCGGCGCTGCGGCGGCGCCCGCTCCTCCCGACGGCGCGGCCGGTTCCCCGCCGCCGCCCGCATTTAAGGCGCGGCGCGGCGGGGCGGGGGGCGGACGGCGGCGGCGCTGACCCACGCCTCGCCGCAGGTGTCGGGTTTCAAAGCCGGCCCTGCCTCGCCGCTCGCTTCGCGGGGCGGGGTGGCCGCCGGGGTCGACCCGCTGCGCCGCTGGGCTTTTCCCCCCCCCCCCCCCCCAACTCCCCCCCCCCCCCCCCCCCAACTCCAACCCCCCCCCCCCCAACTCCCCCCCCCCGCCATTTCGCACCGCCCCGCTGCAGCCTCCAGCGACTCCTCCGAGAAGATGGAGGGGGGCGGGTCCGCGGGGAGAGCGCGGCCCCACACAGGAGAGCGGGTCGCGGGCGGCGAGCCCCTCTCGCTGCATTCCCCCCCACCACCATCACCACCACCCAGAGGGGCGGCAACACCGGTCAGACCGGACGCCGTCTCTTCTTCCCCCCCCCCCCCCCCCCCCGGCTCACTCACTTGTCGTAGTCTTGTGTCATGTCTGGCGGAGGCAGCGGGCGGCAGAACTGGCCCGGCTGGTCGGGAGGGTGAGGCGGGGGCGAGCGGAGAGAGCAGCGCGCAGCCCGCCGCTCCGACGGGTTTTGTCGGCTTTTCTCGCCCGCTCAGGTGGCTGCCGCCGCCGCAGGTGGACGGGAGCCGCGCGGCGCCTCCCATTGGCCGCCGCGGGCCGCGGGGCGGAGCCGCCGCGCCCCCATTGGGCGGCCGGGCGGGGAGGGGCGGTGCCGGCGCCCGTGCGGGGCTCGGCCGTGGCGGAGGCGGCGCTGAGGCGCCCCAGGGGCCCCGGGCAGCGGCGGCCGCTTCCGTGCGAACGCGGGGCACCGCGCAAGTGACGGACGGGTAAAACTGCGCGGTGCAAGGCCTCCCGGGGGCCCGGCGCCCCGCCGCCGCTCCCACCAGCCGCTTTCCTGAGGGGAAAAAAAAACCTTCCCCGCCGGTTTCATCTCGCCCCCTTACGTACGGCGTCCCCGGGGGGGCTGAGGCGCCGGCACCGCCGCTGCACCGGAGTCCCCGGCGCTCTTCTCCCGGCCGCGGTGCGTAAGGGCTCCCGGCCAAGGCCCGGGGCCGCGGTCGAGAGTCCGTCGCCTCACGGGCCCCCGGCCTTGGGCCGGGACTCGCCGTCGGGTTCGCGGGAAGCGCCTCGCCGTCTTCCCCGGGCTCAAAACGCGTTTCCCTTCTTCCTCTCCCGGCCCGTATAACCTTATCTCTTTTTCCTGTACAAGCCCCGCGTTTAGGAAGTCTAAACCCGATTTAATTTGCACCAGGACTTCGCCCGACTGCCAAAGCGCAGTGGATCCTGGTGTCGTTAACGTGCCTCCTGGGGTGAACCCGGGTTTGGGGAGAAAGGGGGGGGCATACGATGGAGTTACTGCAAGAAATTCATCTAAATCCTCAACGTTACAAATACATCAGATACAGCCAGAGTGGCGTGCATGAATTTAAATCACAGAGATCTTAAGTCTCTCCTTGAGAAATAAGGGTGCGAGGTTGCTTGTTTAAGTATCAAGCTGAATCAAACCAATATAGCAACAATGCTATCTATCATGTGTCAAGATGCTTCAGATAGCTACTGTAATTTAAAAGTATGCGCACTAATAAGAGGTCTCTCCTTCCAGGTCAAAATCTCTTCCCTATTTGTACAGGATATACTCCAATGCAAAATTATAGAAGGGCAATTCAAGCAGCCAACTGAAGGAAATATGAAACTAAAGGGAACAAACTTTCTTTAAGGGTCTAATCCTGGAAGTTGCTTAATATCCTCTGACTGGATCACAACTAGTGTTCTAGAAACAAAATGCTTTGTTTGGTTCTGCAAACATTGCCACTTCGATGGCAAAAAATAAATATCATTACTGAAGAAGGATCTTGCTCTACAAAGTGATATGAACTGATGTAAACAGTTCCTTGTGACATGCAATAAAAAGTATTCTATATTTTTAACCTATTTTAAAAATCTAGTTTGAGATTATATCAAAGAAAATTTCCTGTTTGCTCTCACATATGAAAAAGATACTGTCATCTGAGTAAGATGTTAGAAAGTTACATTTTTCCAAACAGGTATAACTCGCTTTGTATCGGAAACAAATTACAAAATCAGCTCAAAATTGCAAGTACTGGGAAGGACTGCTAACTTTCTCAGGTGTTATTCACTCCTCGTGCTCCCTGCTTCTGCTCGTGCATACTTTTCATTAACAATAAAATATAATACTACCCTGTAGCTGTAAGTGACCCAGATGCAGTCACATGTTTACATTGCGCCCGAATTGCTAAAATCCTAGTAGTGTGCCATGCTTGGTATTTCTACTTAACTAGAATTCACCGTGATTTTATTCCAAATAAATCAAAGCTGTTGCCTCTGCAAAAGGGATGGCTTTTCTCAGCAGCCTGCTCCACCGATGAAAACTTTGTTATCAACACAGCAATCGCTTCCACATTCAGGAGACAATGATATAAACACCGGATTGTGACACCGCTGACTTAATCTGCCGGTCACAATCTAGACTCTGTAACACCACTTGTAGGTGTATTTCTGTGATGTCACTACCTGGGTTGCATCATTGCTGAATAAAATCAGGCAAGAAGCACAAAGGGATTTAGCAGAGCTCTGGCTTGGGCATGAAGCCATGCCAGACCGATGCGGCAGCGCCCTGGCAGGGCTTCCCTTGCCCTGCGCTGACTGGCGTTCCCTCCAACTTCTTCCCTCGCTCAGCCCTTTCACCTCGATCTCACTGCTCTCCTCCACCTCTCATACCCTCCCCTTTGCCTTTCCCTCTGCCTCGGTCCTGCCTTCAGCATTCTCCTTCCCTTCTTCATTTCCTTTTAAATGAATCCCACTCGAAACACGCGAGGAACCCCACCAAACTCTCACGCCAGTTGCAACCATCTGGCCGAGCACTGTCTCAACACGCTCACACTTCTTCCTCGTCTGTCTTTTGACATCACTATCTAGAGAAACTGGGAATTATTCTGGACAAGGACTAGCTACTGTTAGGGCTTACCTAACAAATAAGGTTTTAAAATCTCACACCTGATAATTATCAGGTACAGGCACTGGCCATTCACACCTGTGCAATAAACAAACAAGTTGCATCAAGTTTGTAACAGTATTTTTGATTTCACAAAACACGTCAGGGAATCAAAACAAGATACTTTCTACTTAACCTGAGCCCTGAAGACGCGAGGGCCAGGCTGCAGAGCCGGCCGTAAAGAGCAGTGAATCTTCTCTCCATCACACCACACACCAGGAAAGATTTGCTTTTCTGCGGCAGGGCTGTGGTCACTAATGATAGAGCCAGAAAAGTAAGCCTGAAGCTGATCAGTGACCCCCACAGAATAAGCCTGAAGGCATCAAAGGGCTGGGGAAAAAAAAAAAAAAAAAAAAAAAAAAAAGAGAGAAAAGCCCAGGCAGAGGTTCATGAACTCACTAGGAAGTGAGGTGAAAGCTGGCACAGCGGAGAGAAATAGAAAGACAAGTGACAGTGGAAAGGGAAGCTGGAAATGCCTCGTAGGAAAGAAAAGATGGAAAAAGCTGAGGGGAAGAAGGGGTAAAGAAATAAATGAAAGCACGATGTGTGAAATATGGAACATGAAATTTAAAGAAACAGTTTTCACTTCAGTCATATGCAATCTTGCAGGCATTCCTTAAAGATTCCCCCTTCCAGTCTGTATTTAGCCCTGAAGATAACATAGGCACTGTTGAGAGCCTACAGACTATTCAGGAGCAGTTCCATCAGCCTGACTGAGGACACTCTGAAAGCACTACCACATAAATTAATCGATTTTGCAGCAGTCTGTATATTTAAAAAATAGTCTGAAGCCTAGAATTTTCTTGACGAAAAAATCTTTAGCATCTTATCCAGCCTCACTGAGCATTTATTGTCTTTGCTCGATAGTGCGCTTCCCCTGAGTTTGACTTCTGTGTACAGAGGTCCTGCCGCACGGGCCGATAGCGGTGTGGCAAGAGACCAGCGTGTGCAGCTCTTTCGCTGCGTGCTGTTCTCTGCCTAATCCGCTTTGCTCCGCGGCACGGAAACCACCCAGCCGCCCAGCTCCGAGTTAGGAACGCCACGGAGCTCAGTCCCACAGACAGAACTGTTTTGTCACAATTTCGCATCGATGCAGCACGGCTCAGCTGTGCAGGTGAGACCCAGGGCCAGGTGGTTTCGCTTCACATCCTTGCGTCGGAGCAAGCGGCGGGCGGCGGTCACGGGGAAGCCCGCCCCTGCCGCACGGCGGGACTGCGGTCGGAGTCCTGCCCGGAAGCGCGGGAAGCAGCCTGCCCGCAGACGTGGGGCCTGCTGGCTTCTGAGGAGCTGACGGCTCGCCGGGAGCTCACCCTGATAGCCTGATCACAAGAGCTGGGCACTTGGATACAGTTTTAGGACACCCTTCTCTTCCCCGGGCCTGTGGAGAGGTGGCACCTTCACCCTTCTCTCTTGCAGCAGCCTCTACCCCGCACCCCTCAGGCAGCCCTGCCAGAGGCATGCAGTGCTCCACCAGCCAGCCCCTGGAAAGGCAGCACAGAAACATCCCAGGATCCAGACCAAGCTGTCAGATCGCAACACGGACACAGAACAGACTCGGTGGTGTTCTCGGGAGGCGACGGCAGGGTCTGCAGCTGACACACAAAGCCACTGCTAGGACAGCGGGGAGGTCTACGAGCAGATTCAGAATACTTCTGCAATACAGAGCAGCCGTGTGAGATTATCAGAGGAACGTGCTTGTATTTTCTTTTAAAATTACCTGATGTA